GTGAAATATGATATATTAAGAACTGTGTAATGTTTTGAACTACCAACAATAAAAAAAAAATATTGCCATGGCTTAGATGTGGTTTGTTCCTGCCAAAATTCATGTTGAAATTTAATTGCTGCTGTAGTGATATTGGAAGGTAGGCAATTTAAGAGGTGATCAGGACATTGAGAAGGATGTATGCTGGATCATTACCACATGTGTGGACCACTACAAAGCAAGGCTGCCCTCCTGTTTCCTCTTTTCCACACATGCCCATTTACCCTACCACTTTCTGCCATGAGTTGAAGCAGCACACCAGCTCATGCTCTTGGACTTCCTAGCCCCCAGTACTATAAGCCAAAATAAACCTCTTTACTTTATAAATTACCTAAGCTCAAGTATTGTTACAGCAACAAAAAATGAGTTAATATATATTCACATATTCTTTACAACAGACTCTGAAAAATGGGAAGTTATCTAAACATCTATTTATACAGTAGAATAACAGAGTCACTACAAAGGGAACAGCTTTAAATGTACAACACAAAATGCTCTCCAAGATATTTGATCCAAATGAAATCAACAGGGTACAAAGCAGTGCATAAATGTGTTGCCATATAATAATGTTTATGTATGCCCAGTATAACACTTAAAAGTTTACAAAAGATACCGGTAGAAGTATTGCCTTTGGGGAAGGAAATTGCTGAAATGCAGAACAGTGGGTTTCTCTATTGACTCATGTATCCTTTTTATAAAAAAAAAAAAAAAATGAGGTAGACTTATATGAAAAGATCCCTAAGACACAAATTAAGTATATATATATGTACGTGTGTATGTGTGTGGGGGGGGACAAGTATGCAAATTGTACAATGTGAAAAATATACAAATAAGTATATCTAAATATGTGAAATATATGTGTATTCATAAGTGTATGTAGGTACACACACAAATACCACATATACAAGACATGTGTAAATGAATTGAGTAAGGACCAGAGAAACAAAAATTAAATAGATCACAGTGGTTGCTACTTCAAGGGAAGAGACTAGAATGGCAGAGTGGGTTGATTCTCCAGAGGCTTTTGTCTTTGTTTCACTATTTCAACCAAAAATGAAATCATATATTTCATGTACAATTAATTTTGATAGTTTTGATGTACAATCATAATTAAAACCCACTATTTCATTTAACGTTCTAAACACCAAATCTGTTTTAAGTATTTTTTATATCCTAATAGGTGATAGTGCAGGGCCTTCTACTAATAGTTGCTGATATATGATGAGGAACAGAAGAGATTCCTCCATTTATACCACCTCTACTTCCATCAATGATCCTCATACCAGTACTTCTTTGTCACCTGACGGGTTCTAAACAACTCTTGGACTTGATGTGCCACATCTTTCTCCCAAGCCAACACCATTACGCCTGTGGTTTCCTTGTCTAGCCGGTGGCACAGATGTAAGGGCTCTGCCTTGTGGCCATGAAGCATCTTTGCCAGGATAGGCAGCACATCACTGATGCAGAGCTGGACCCCAGGGCCACCTAAGGAAAAAGACAGAAGTTTGAGAGCTTTTACCAAAGAACTAACTTGGAGAAAAGTCCTCATGCATAAACTGTCAATGTGTTCTAGAGAAATACTACTGAAGTGTAGGAAGGGCTAGTAACATCAGTATATCTAAAGACCTCTCTAGCTATAAATGAATCTAAAGTCCCCAATACAGGCTACTAAGTCAGAATCTGCCTTTTAACAAGCTGCCCAAGTGACTTACAGGCAATTAAAATTTGAGAAACACTGTCCTAGATTATGTGGCTTTCTCCTGGATATACTTTGCAGGACCATAAGGCCCTCTTAGGCATTGCAGAAGAGTGGTTATGGGGATGGGGTTTGGGATTAGACATTCCTGGTTTCTCCTTTTTGTACTCACCTAACTAGCCACTTGACCTCAGACAGATTACTTGTATTTCCAATTTTCTCATGTAAAAGAAAAAAAAAGAGGGAGGTAAATAACTGGAAAATAATCTCACTGGGGAATGATAAGGCAAGAAATTGTTTTTGGAAGAGGAAAAAACTCATGTAAAGTACCGTTTTAATTCTTTGTCTTTATGGACAACTTTCTCTTAACTTCCCCCAAAAGATTACCTTCTTCTAGAAAAAATATTCCTTCTCTCTCTCCACCTTTTTCACCAATACATTTTACCCTATCAAACTTTTCTGACTCACTTCAGCTGTTCCTTATTACTACATTCAACGTTTAGTTATTTAAAGACAGATCTGAGTGTCCTGTTAAGTTCCAGAAGTTTTATTTGGCATACTCCACCACAAACACACCTTTTAAAAATATTATTATGTATTTTGTGTTATTTTCTCTTTCCCAGTTTTGTGTGTTTATTTGTGAAACAGGGTCTAAGCTGCCCAGGTTTGCCTAGAACTCCCAATCCTGCTGCCTCAGCTTCTCAAGTATCTGGAATTATAGGCACTTGCCACTGCACCTTTCTCTCTCTCCCAGTTTTGATGAAAAATAACCTGAGGACTAAGAACACACACAGTCTTTATAGTTTTCTACAATAGTCCCTGTGGTAGTCTGCACACAACATTCCAGGAATGACTGCTGTCAAATGTTTGGAAATGGGTTTACCTTATTTATGTAATACTCTACAAAGGTTTAATTAATTTGAATGCAAGAGTGCCTCACCTGTAATACTTCATAAATGCCCCTAGTTGTGGCAGAAAGCAGTAACAGGTCCCGCTCCCTTGCCCACATGGTCCTTACCATGGACAGGAAGACCGTAGGGCTTATTGATGACCACAAGGTCCTCGTCCTGGTGGAGAATCCCTCGGCTCAGTGCCTTTGCAAGGACGTTAGGGTGAACTCGCTGCAGCTGCCGTGTGAATCGCACGAGTTCTTGCACTCTCCGTTGAATACGGTTTGTTGGTTCCTACGGAGAGAAGAGGTGGGAATGCCTGGTGACTAGTAGTAAGCGAAACAGAAGGGAAAGCCCTCAATAAGCGTGAGTATTTGGGTAGGGAATGCCTGTATCTCTGCGTTAGACTCAGGTCTTTCTCACCTTCGTACCTACGCGGTGGTCGGAACTGAGCCTGGCAACAGCAAAGACCCAGCCCAAATGAAGACCACATAACCCTACAGACCTACCCTCTCCGCGGTCTGCCCATTCTCCTACCTTTACTTACTAGCCGCCCAAGGACCCTCCTACCTCACACCCTGCCTGGGAAACTGTGCGCACTGCCTGTTGGGAGTCGTGGTCCTTCCGGGCTTACCGGCTTTTTCTTCTCTTGTTCCCGTTTCTGGGCTCGGAGCCTCTCCGCTAGTCTCTGGGCATTCAGAGGCCTAGTAGCAGCAGCGGTGGAACAAAATGGCTTTGAGATGAGAGTGAAAAGACTCCCCAAACGCGGGCCGGAACCCCGGACCCAGGCGCCAGACGCAGTACAGCTGGGCGCCGCCATCTTACCAAGGGAGGGGCAAGCTACGACCACGTGGAGAAGAATGACAACTGGGTGGAGGGAGTGGGTGGGCTCCTCGGGTCACGTGTAGAGGGCGGGACCTGCGGGTCACGTGGGCGGTGCGCGCTCAGTGCGGCTGCGCCGGCCGGTAGCTGCAGCTGGAGCCGTGGCGTTTGGAGGAGACGCGGTGAGTGTAAGGGGAAGCCGGGCTGGGACTGGGCAATGTCCGTGCCTCAACGTTTTCCGCGTCCCCAGGATCTCGGTTCTTGGAAAACACAGCCCACGAAAGCGGTTGTCCCTTTGGGACACAACTCCAATCAAAAACACTTCCCCGCCCCCGCACCTTCTTAGAAAAGAAACCCCACAGACGCTTGCCCCACTGTCTTCTCAGGCACCTACTTCGTCCCTCTTGGCAACCACATCCTTGGCGGGGACGCGGCGTGTCCCCTCCTGTTTCCTTACCGCTCGACCTCCGGAGATGCCCGGATCTCTAGCCTCTCCACCTCTCGCCTTCCGACTCTCTATGTCTTTGTTCATGTTGTAACCTACCCTCTCTTACTCTCCCAAGGATGATGGTCCCTTCTTTCATCCAAAGCCCCTAGCCCGTATTTCCTGCGAAGGAAGCACACGGGTTTCTTCTGTCCTTCCTCAGGAATTCATTTCTTGCGGTCTCCTCCTGCTTACCTTCTCCACTCTTCACAGAGAAAAGACGAAGTACAGGGCACCGACCTTCCCTTCTCCCTTTTGCTTTATTTTTCCCCTCCGTAGTTTGCTGCCCAAAACGCTTTCTTCTTCTTACATGATGCAGTGTTGGGACTCCCATGCCTGAACTGCAAGCGACTTCCTCTGATTTCACTTAAGGGACGGCTGGGAAGATGAACATCTGTTTGGGATGGTAGTCTTAAAAATACCTTGGGATGTACGTGCCTTTCGTTAAGAATAAAGGTAATGCTGTGCTGAGTTCTGAAAGAATGTCTTGAGAAAAACCAATGAAACTGAAATGACGGTAGAAGGATAGCAGGAGGTCTGCTTGGGGAGTTAAGAGAATAGGAAGTGAATTAGGTTTAGGTCCTTCCTCTTCAAAAGAGATTGACAGAAGGGAGTAATGGAGCATAAAACAAAGTTGAACAGATGGAACTAGCCTAATGAAGACCTTAAGATGAAGAGTTTAAACTATAAATGATGGGTAGCTGAGTCTTTGAAGCTTCCTGAGAGACTCCTTGGAAGTGGAATTCTGGAAATGAATGTGACACTTAAATGCAGGACCGATTGTAGCAGGGAAGCTATCTGGGATGCTGCAATCTATGTGATCAGTAATGAGGCTGTGCCCTATTCTAGTGGACCCTTTGCCCTACAAGGTACTGTTTTTTGTTTGAATCCATTTAGTTATATGCAAGTCAAGATACATCATTGGCGGGCTGTGGCTCAGTGGCAGAGCACTTGCCTCGCACATGTGAAGCACTGGGTTCGATCCTCAGCATCACATAAAAATAAGTAAAAATAAAGATATGGAAAAAAAGATTTAAATTCTTAAAAAAAAAGATATATCATTGGCAACTACTGTTGATTTGTGAGTCCTTTGAGGACTGTCCCCCATACCTAGCATTTAGTAAGTTTACAAATATTTGTTAGGAGGTTGAATTACATCATGGACATATTAGGTGTTTCTAAACTTTTTGAATTGTCTTATTTCTGTCAGTTTGGACCTGAAGAGTAAAAATAGGGGTAAATATATTTGTAAGGGAAATGGAAAAAATCTTGTGTGTTTCTGAGATAAGATAAATGATCTGGAATAAATACAAAGAACTCCAAGGGAGATTGAGAAACAACCAGTGTTTCCCCTTCTATTATTTTGTTTGTTTTTGTTTTCCCCAGTAAATTCACAGAACATAAATTTATAAATCTTGAGAAATTCCATCCTAAAAAATTACTACCCTTTATCTATATGCACCAGACCCAGGTTCTAATTTTATTAAACTGTTGCACATGCCTTGTTACTTAGTTACATGAAGTCCCTTTTCCAAGGACCCTGAAATTTGGACTTCCGAGTTTAAATGCATATCATTACATTAATTACAAACCTGTTTTCTATACAGGATTTTTGTGGTGTGAGTGAAAGTACTGGGAGAATCTTTCTGCCTTTTGGCATTCAAGAAATACTTCTAAAGAATTGGCATTCTGGCCAGTAATCCCAGCGGCTAGGTAGGCTGAGATAGGAGGATCCTCAGGTTCAGAGTCAGCCTCAGCACAGCGAGGTGCTAATCAACTCAATGAGACCCTGTCTTTAACGCAAAATAGAGCTGGGATTGTGGCTCAGTGGTCGAGTGTCCCTGAGTTCAATCCCCAGTACCAAAAAAAAAAGGCATTCTGTGTCAGAAAACAAAAGAAAGAACAACTCAGATGTCATTGCTTCTTGACTTAGAACTTCTTCAGTTCTTCAGTTTCAGGTTAACCCAAAGCACACACCATAGTGCCTTGGAGAATAAAAACATTAGTCACTTTTTTTCTGGAGAAGGAACCTTCGTTTTCTTTCTTCTTCGTTTGTGTTTTTCTTGTTGAAACTTTGTAAGAAGAATTTAAAGAATTCAAAGTTTTTGTTATCACTTTACTAGCTTTAGCCTAGTTGGGTCCAGAAGTTACAACTTCCTTGTTTCTCTTATGAGGCTAGGCTGCTGTCTCAGTATAAAGAATGTATGCAAATATCATGTGTCTCTTTCCTTTTTTTGAAAGTCTGTGGTGCTGGGGATCGAGCCCAGGAGCACTCTACTATGAAGCCATATCTTCAGCCTATTCTTTTTTAAGACAGGGTCTTGCAGAGTTGCTGAGGCTGGCCTCAAACTTGTAGTTTTTCTGCCTCAGCCCCCTAAATAGCTGGAAATACAAATGTGCACTGTGCCCAGCATTCTTTTTTAAAATCTCTGTTGCCTCCTTCCTCTTCCTCATTCAATTGATGATATTTTAGGCATTCATTTTTCTACTTCTTCACAGTTGCATATTGTCTTTTTGGTTGGGGACTACCCTTGTCTGAACTGTTTTCTCAGTATAAAATTCTATTAATGGGTCTTCATTCTTATGAAGTCTAATTCTGTTCAAACATAACTTAATTACGTAGATTTTGACATATCACCATATATGCCCTCAAAATAATTAAATAAAGAAGAATTTGGGCTGGGGTTGTGGCTCAGTGGCAGAGAGCTTGCCTAGCCGTGTGAGGCACTGGGTTCGATTCTCAGCACCACATATAAATAAATAAAATAAATATTTTTAAAAAAACTTGATTTTTTTAAGACTATTTTTCACTCTGTGCAGGAACAAGGACTACCAGTAAAGGAACTTGGAAGTTAAATACCGTATACATAAGGTTGATTAATGGCATCAAGTTAAATGGCAACCCCTTAAGTAGTGATTTGCTAGTTGTAGATTAACCAGAGATCACATTTCCCCTAAGAGCAGGAAGTACTTGGACAATGTTTTAAAGAGATTAAAAGAAGCAATTAGCAGGAACTCTCTGAAGGTGTTCTGGAAAATACAGTTCTTGGGAGCCAGAAGATCTGGAGACTAGTCCCAGTTCAGCTTTTATGAACTTGAAGAAATAATATGGGTTTCAGTTTTGTCACTTAAAAAGTTTAAGAGCTTTACAACTGTAAGCTTCTCTGCTGTGAAGATTTTCCAGTGACACTTCAGTACTTTTGACTTTAACAAGTGGAATTTCTCTCAGACTTATCTTGAATGCATTTAGCATTGGTACAGAAAATCTGTGCCACTAAACTAATATTTATATATGGAGTTTACTTCATTTAATGGTGTTGGAATAATCAAGATTTCTAATGGGGCAGGGGAGGGGCATATAGAAAAATATTTGGGAGAGTGAGGCTCAATGGTAGAGCACGTGGTAAGCATGTAGAATGCCCTGGGTTCAGGGCATTCTACGTGTTTATTATTTCCCTGCACTGGAAAAAATATTAAAATATTAAATCTATAACATATAGTATCTCTCATACTTTTATTTAGCTTTTGAATAACGATCCGGGCAAATCTAACTTAAACCACTGCTTCCCAGACTTTTCTCATTTCACAGCACATATGGAAATAATTGTTGTATCATTAGGAAAAGCTGAAAGTTACCCACAGAAGGCAACTGGCCTGGGAGCTGTGGCAGTTCACAGTCCCCACTTGGCAACACCAAGGCTAAGGAGATACATCCCTACCCTGAGACCTGACTGAATATTAGGAAGGTCAGCTTTGTACATTCAAGGTCTTTGCCCCAAACTCTGCCGGACTATGAATAGGAACTGTATTATTAGTTACTTTTGTAAATTGGTCTCTAATCTTATTTTTTGTGTTTATGTTCCTTTCTACTTTTGGCTAGTTTACATTTAAAGACTATACTTATCCTTACACAGTGGCTTTTCTAAAAGTATGTGAATGATAGCTAACTGATGAAGAGATGGGAAATACTTTTGCCATAATATGGTGACACTGTTAAGAGTATAGGCAGTCTTGGTCTGCCTATTTAAAGATAAATAATATCCAGAGTCAAAGACCACCATGCAAGGGAATATGTGAATTTCTTTGAATGCTTTATTTCATGCTTTCTTTTATAAAAGTAATAGTTAAGTCTGGGGTTGTGCCTCAGTGGTAGAGCGCTCGCCTAGCATGCTTGAGGCACTGGGTTCGCTCCTCAGCACCATGTAAAAACAAAATAAATAAGATAAAGGTATTGTGTCCACCTACAACTTAAAAAAATAAATAAAAGTAATAGTTAAAAAACAAGGGGCTGGGATTGTGGCTTAGCAGTAGAGCGCTTGCCTAGCATGTGCAGGGCCCTGGGTTCAATCCTCAACACCATATAAAGGTAAGTGAATGGAATGGAGGTATTGTGTCCAACTATAACTAAAAAAATAAATATTAAAAAAAAATTTAAAAATACCATTAAAAAGAGTGGGAAGAAATCATTCTTAGCTTCTCTTTTCCATATGTGTAAATATCATAGTTTTTCTCTAGTCTTTTTTTTGTGTCCTTTTTTGAATTATTATTTGTGGAAATTTTCAAACGTTTACAGAAGTAGAGAAGATACTCTTAACAAACCTCCATTTACTCATCAGCCATCTTCTACATTTAACCAAAACAGTGTCTTCAGCTGCATTCCATGCCCTCCTTCACCTCCCAGATAGTTTTGACTCAAAT